TGTAACTCTTTAAATTCAGAAATATTATAAGTCTCATCATATCAACATACTAAGATATACATGTATGCACATAACATTAATAATTCCCAGTTTCTATTAAATAAATATGAAATCCTAACATTAACATTGGTACTAATGGATGGAATTCAAAATCTAGTAGAATATATAAACTCTGTTATAGATACTATTATTAGCCAGCTAACACTGGGTATAAACATCTTTAACCTGTAGACTGATCATGTATTATCATTTATAAATTTAAATGTAAGTCTCATCCATCATAACTGTAAGTCTTTAAATACAGAAATACACATTATATCCATATACTATGATACACTTGTATGCACATTACATTAATAATTCTCAGGTTCCATTAAAAATGAATATAACATCCTATTGACAGGAATTCATAATCTTGTAGGAAGAAAACTATAACGTGTACACATGATATTGTATAGTATAAATTAAAAAAAAATCTCAAATAGTCTGTATCATGTGATACAGATTAAGTTGTCTATTAGACTTTACTATACAATGTATAACTAATTGCTTATAATGTACATGTAATCAAGTGTTTAAAATGAGCACCTATATGTGTAGCTTAAATATTCTACCTTTCATTTTTACCAAAGGTTATTTTAGTAACAATTCATATACAAACACATAGAAAATAATAATTTCACATAGTGACAAGTAGAGATTTTGATGCTAAAGCATCAAGTCGCCGGATAGAAAATACTGTATAATCATAAATACAAAAAAATATCAGTTTAATTAATGGTTCAGGTATAAAGAAAAGAGGAAGAATATGTTGAGTAACTGGTTATTCACAATAAAACATCATATATGAAGCAAACTTGCTTAGCAATATTGTTAGGAACTGCTATGATTATTAAATAAGCAAGTATTTCGTTAGTTTACGTAACGTATTGTGATTTATGCTAAAGATTTTATTGATAGTATAGATCTCGATATCAAATCAAATAATATTGCTCGATGACCTACAGGTGGTAAGTAGGACGTCAAGTTGTGACCTAGAAGGCCAAATTCAAATCTTTGAAAATCCCTTTTGCTGTTTTCATAAAACTATTTTTTTTTATTATTTCTTTTAACTATATGAAACATAAGTTGATAAATCGTGTTTCATTTCTAGCATTTTTTATTTCATAATTTTGATTAATTTTGTAAGGCGACTGATATTCTTGTAACAGGGAACGATCTGAGATAAGCATCGTATACGTCACTGATAAGAGACCTGTTCTAAAAATAGCCACATACGGACAAAGAGTCTGGATTAATCTACTTGTAGATTATACAAGATAATGGTTAAGAATACTTTTATTCACATTTCTCTCAATGAAAATGATGTTCCTGGAGTTAAACTTGCGTAAAGCATGATTGAGATGGTTTAAAACCATCAGGGAAATAAAGATGATACGTGAAAAAGAAATAACTTTCGGCCCTGCATGTCAATTTGAGAAAAATGCCGGCGCTTGGCAATATGTTTTTGTTTTACTGTTTATCAAAATTAGAAATGGTGATATGATATTGTATGATTTTATGAAATTGGGACTAAAAATGAAAGAGTATCTTTCTGTCCCAGATATACCGTACAAAATTTTGTTTCTATGTAAACTACTCAGATTGGAGAAGTCATGAATCTATCCACCTAAGTGCTACGAGTATTAAATTAATGATTAATATCTTAATTTTTTAATAATTTTAGAATAAGCAAAACTCTGCATTTTTTCCTATTTTACCTAATAAAAATGCCGATTCTAGTATTTATTTTATCAATTGATAAAAATAATGTATACGTACATGCATGCTTGCATGTTTATTTAAACTGAATTGACAATTGAGGTCCGTGATTTAACATACATTGTTTACGTATAGACAATAAAATACTTTTGTTTTTTATTTTATGTCTCACACAAAATATTTGTTGTTAAAATCATCGGCATCATCTACTTGTAATTCTATCTTATACATATACCGTTATACCAGACATCGAAATCCGTTTTGTATATCCGATAATTACCGCCAAATAATCAAAGGTCATCGAATATTTGAAAATATATATGTTTTAATTATTGCATGAAACAATGCAATTCTACCGTAAAATTGGTATCTGCATACATTTTTTTTAGCGCTATCGAAAAAATAAATTACTTAGTTGAAATCAATAGTCCTGTCGTTACATACCATAAAGTAAACGTTTAATTGCCTTTCATTTCGATAAAATATTAACAAAAAGATATTTTATTAGTTTTCTTTATTATGTATCTAATACGATCCGTCATACCGTTTTGGTAAGCTGCGCGACGGAAATCGACGGAATATAACGAATACGACGATTACCACTATTTATTTCAATTAATGTGCCTCTTTAGCATAAATCTATTTTGTGATGTTCAACCTTAACTAAACTATTGAACGTTGACAGAAAGGGCCAAGTTTAACCCTTTACCAAAAAAAATGAAAAGGTTTTGAAAATTTATTTAATTCTTTAATGTGCTAATTATGAGTATACAGACCTTTCTAATGATATAAAATATGAAACTGATTAATGAAAGATAACTTTGTAATTATTCATACATTTGCATCTAATTAGCCACCATACCGTTTTCCAACTATTATGTCTTATCAGCAATCTGTTACTATAAATAGATTCTATAACACTAACATACAACGTGTAGTCACGTGATTCTTACAATAGAACAGGGAGAATCTGTTTATAATTAGATAAAATATTGCAATATAATAGGTCTCATAAGATATAAACAAAACTTATAATTTAAATGTGTCATTTCAAATATCATTCATGATTTATCAATCATAAAATAGCAACGCTTGACACTTAGGAAAAAGGTAAAAGTATCCCTAAATTCAATGACTGGTCCATAGGGATACGTTATTAATTCATTTTATGAAAAATTGTAATGTTGCTTTTTAAGATGTCAATATTTGTATATTTCATTTCATTTAGCAACGTTACTTTATTATTGAATTTTTAAGATTATGAAAAATAATTGTGGTCCTTAAATGTTCAGTAATTGATTTGCTTTTATATTCAGATTTTAAGGCCTTCTCCTACCATAGATATAATATTAAACTGTTACAAATATAGTCGCCGGTTTCTACCGGCGACTAATTAGAAGATGCCTCTAGCAGAATACCTATAGGTATGTACCAACTGAACAAACTAGAAAAATCTGGTCTAGGGTACTGTATATCAAGCCAGTAAAAATATATATCAATATTCATTCATCAGGGCCTCTCTGCTTTTGATGACCTTACAACTGGTAAATTTTATAAAAAAACATAAAATAGTAAGTAATACTAAAGATAGAGTAGACAGAGTAGACAGAAAAGAACAAATAATTTAGTAAACATGAGTTACTTCCCCTTAAAAGAGAGAAAACCTGAAACCCAAAAGAACACCCTAAACATTAAAATTACGAAATGTTGCAGGCTCAGTCAGTTTTGTTAAGCCATGCAAATTAATGGTAAAGTATTCATAAAAAATAGATGACCATGTGACAGCAGTTATTGCAGAAAATCGGATAGCTTTCAACATCCGGATACTGGTACACTTTGTAAAAACAACCATTCTGTGCAACAGATCAACGTAATATGGATAAAATCAAAAGGATAATCGTTAACAACAGTTCATTACCTATCCTTATACTCATTTGCAGGTGAACTTTCTTCTTGTAAGAAAATTTTGAAAATATATAAATGAATGAACGAAATGGATACGGCATCAATGTAGACCACAACGATAATCGAAATCCGGGTTTTAGTATTGTCAATAAAACTAAGGGACAAGCTGTTAAACTCAGCCTGCAATTTCGTGAAAATAATATCACAATGCACATGCTTTTTATATAAAGTTATTAAATACAAATATAACAACATATTTGTTTACTTGATTTTTACGAATCAAAATAAATCTAATTAACTCAACATGAAAATAACTGCTATTAATAACAGCTCCTTCCATAGGCAAAAATAAAAGCATTCCATATAAGACGACGCCGCTCACCGGCGTCGCCAATAAACAAACTAAGTTTGCTAGTTAGGAGAAGAACCTAGCTGAACTGTGTCAAATTTTAAGGTCTCAAGGTTAAAAATTATGAAATCTGTACGGAAAAATGTTCAAAAAGTGTCCGGTTGATGGTCCCTGGCCAGTATACTGAATCATTTTTAAAAATTATCTAAGAAATGTATTATTATTACTTTGTGGATGAATCTATTAGAAAAGGTTCTAATCTATTGCTATAATTTTTAATCAGGTGAGAAAATGTTGTTACTTCATGTAACTAATAACATATCTATTTTTAGATGTATCTGAATTACCTGATACTTGAATCTATTTTTAGAATACCTGTATCTATTTTCAGATATACCTGATTCCTCCTTTAGAAGATCTAAATACCGAAAGTTCAATGAATACATTAACTATGACTTAAATGATACATCAAGCTAAATCTAGGCAAATACAAGTTATCAATGTAGAATTAGTACAATCACAAGTTTGAAATATGAGCATTTTAAATATATATATAAAAACAGCATTTCACATTTCCTAGCAAAATATTCAAATGTAGATTGGGGATAATTCAGGGATAATTTCTCTGTAGAATCAGGGATAATTTCCTACATGAACAACCCAACTAAATGGAAATTTATAAGCATCAGTCTTTCAATTCAGATAGAGTATATATAATTACAGAGAAGCAAACAAATATTTTACCCAGCATAGCTTAAAACCCTTAACCCCATTCCTTACTTAACTTCTTAAATGGGCTTGTCCAGATTCTATTTATGAAACTGTCTATTATCAATTTTTGGGTTATATCAACATGGAAACTTAAAATTGGTCAGCCAACAGTATAGAGCCTGGTCAGACTGCACGGATGTGCAGGCTGGCCTGGCTCTATACTGGTGGCAAAGGCAAATTGGTTTTGGTTCAAGCAGGGTCATGTCTAACTTACCCAGCTCCAGCTTGTTTCCTTGTCATCATCATCTCTTGTTTCTCCCTATTCAGCTCATCTTCAATCTCCCTGGAAACAAAATATTATTTTTTTTTACATTTTAAAAACAATCCTTTTCTTACATATGACAGTTAAACTTCGATCGCTCGAACTCGTATCTCTCGAATAGTAACCTTCCTTTGCTCAAACTCTATAACTATATATATGTATATTCAAGGAATAAAAATTATGACTTCATGAATTTTAAATATCTGAGCAAATACCAAAACAATCAATCGGATCAACACTAGCTTGAAGCACTATTAAAAAACAACAAATATAATGTTGCTCAAAATGTAGCTTTAATTTGTTAGAATAACACATATATTTTCATTTATAATATGTGTAACAGCAAAAAGACACCCTATGAGAATGTAGCTTTAATTTCTTAGAATGTTTACATCAAACGTAATAGTAAAGCTACACCATATAAGAGTGAAGCTTTCCTGCAAGTGCTACATTATCTAAATTTATAACATTATAACTTTTGTAGTTATCAAATTTTATTAGCTAATTAGTAGTTAATTAATGATATTAATCTACATCCCTCATAAACACTGCTGTTGTACCACCCACATTAATGACGAAGACTGGGTCATGTGACCTTGACTGATTCATAACAGCTATTTCATCTCACTGTCTCCACTCACACAGACTTCAATTAATTACTTAATTTTATTGTTTCTATGAATAAGCTTTAGGCGCTGATCAATGGATCTGAGTTGGAAAGAGTGGGTGGATAGAATGAGGTGTAAAGGACAGAGGTGGAAAGGGTGGGTGGGTAGTGTAGTATGAGGTCTGAAGGAGGGAGGTGGTAAGAGCGGGTTGGTAGAGTGAGGTGTTAAGGACGGATGTAGGAAGAGGATTTGGGGAAACCATTAACACCAACTTAATCAAACACACAATCATAATGTACATATACAATATTTATTAGGCATCACAATATAAATGAAGCTTATTATATTGAGACAGATTTAAACATTTCATTCTATAGGATACTTCAGCCCAATCTTAAACCTGCCAATGAACTATTTCTATTTCGTCAATTCGTCCAAAATATTCACCAAGGTGCATTCAAGTTACCATTACATTATTACCACAGAAACTTAATTATTTATACTGTAATCATCATTTATTAACTAAATTCATAAAATTATGCCCTTAAAACAAACGCCCACTACTAATCTATTTTTCATGAAAACAGGAAACAGAGGTAAATAAGTAAATTAAAGCTAACTTCAAATGCATTTTTTTAAGTAATTCATTAATTTGTTTTGTTTGGTTTATGAATTACCCTTCCCTTCTTCAAAAAAATGACTAAATTATTTTGAAAAACCATTGGCAACATTTACATTTTATACATGTTTTTTTTTTTTATAGTCATTAGACATATAATCTCAAAACCTGCCCACTAAATTACTTTGGCACTTCCTTTCCATTCATGCACGACATGTATTTTTTTTTCAATTCTAAACTGTGGCCCCAAACCCCCTAGGTACAGCAGGGTCATTGTACAAATCCTCACTAAATGTCCTCACACTGCACAGTTATTTGTTTTGGGTTTTATGTCACATTGACACAGCTAGTATAGGTCATATCGCGACATTCCAGCTTTATTGGTGGAGGAAGACCTTAGGTGCCCTTCTGTGCATTATTTCAGGCACGAACGGGCACCTGAGTAGAACCACCGACGTTCCATAAGCTAGCTGGATAGCTTCCTCACAAAATAAATATTGAAAGAATCCAAAGTCCCTTTCGGGATTCGAACCCACAGTGGTGAGGGGCAAGTGGTTTGACTGTACAGTTGTAAATATTTCCTGCTATGTATTAAGATGCCAATAATAAAACCAACACAATTTAACCCAGAATGGTGGGGACAGATGGTAAGTTGACAATTTGCTCATTTCCACTCTTTTTATAAATTTAATGTTCAGGTAAATTCCAATGGATATTTATAGAAATTTCCTTGGCCCATATGAGTCATTCATTGTTCATGCAAAGTTTATTATAAAAATTAATGGAGTTACGGCAAAATGTAAACTTATGTTGACTTTAATCTATTCACTCACTATATACCCTTTTAATGGGCATAATGTCACTTTAAGGCTGCATGCCTCCATTTGAGTAAAAATATTTCAAGAAATTAAATCTCTAGAAAAATCTATTAAGATCATAAGAAAAGTAAAAATATTCAATATTTAATTAATTATTTACATGTTATGTGCCATTAATGACTGATTTTTCAATATCAATCACTATCTTTCTTGACTGCATTCCTAATGCAGTAAGAGGTATTTATGTTTAGTTTGACCCCCTTTTGGTAATTTACATGGATTGTAAGTGCCGTTTGCAATGTGTAAATTACTTTCCTTGTTCACTTTAAAGTATTTTACCTTTTGAATACATTTTCAAAATTTTCATGAAATTAGCATGAATCTGGATGCATGCTGCTTTAAATACATACCTTTGTTTGGCAAATTTTTTGGCTTGTATCTTCTCATTAATCATCTGTTCTTGCCTCTCCCTGTTCATCTGTATTTTATCATTAACATGTTCCACCTGGTTGTAGTGTTGCTGTATAATCTGGTCCGCTTTGTTGGCCGACAATCTTCCATCCTCTATCTTACTCTCGAGTTGAGCCTAAAAATAAATACCGTACAAAATGTCGTAAAAGCACCTAAGACTGTTTGTCTGAATTTTGATCTCAGGGTTTTCATTATTAACAGATTGGCGATCCATATCCTTGGTTGAAATGCTATTAAAATCATTTGTGTTTTTAGCCTGTAGATTTAAATATTCCCTTGACCCTTCGCCAAATTGGTTGTTTTCGTCGGCACATCTGTTGCCTGAGATAAAAATGAAAACCCTTTGACTTTTTTCTTCAAATTTAATATTGTACATGTACTAAACATTGAAAGCTCCACAATAAAATGTTCAGCTTTGGAAACTAGTTACAACAAGCTTAATACAGCATTTCTTGATACAACGTCAAAACTATAAGACTGTAAATCTAGGTCACATGCCATCATTCTATATGTGGCCAGGTAGCCAAGTCACACTCATTATTCTGAGGATCAGGCTACACGTTTTTTCACCTTATCACAAAAGTTACTAAGGTTTTCTTGATCAAAGAGGCTTAAATTGACATTAAATCTAGGTCAGAGGTCACATACAAAAGGTTTTGAAAATTTAGCAAACAGAAACTAGAACTGCCACTATCATGGCGTGAATACCCCCGCATACCACTTTGTCAGAATCAACAGTGGCCATTTAGAGCTCAAGGACAACCTCCCTGCCAAATCTGAGGTTACTAAGCCAGTGCATTGCTAAGTTATGTATTCTACATGCTTCAAATGTGAAAATGTCAAAATCAATACATTGCGGACAGGACATTCTTTAGCAATTGAGAAGAAAAGCTTTTTTTTTGTCAAGGTCCCTGTGACCTTGACCTTTGACCCAGTGACCTCAAAATCAATAGGGGTCACCTTATAGTCATGATCAATATCCATGCCAAATATGAAGACTGTGGGTCAAAGGAATCTTAAGTTAATGGGTGGACAAACTTTTTGAAGTCAAAGTCCCTATGACCTTGACCTTTGATCCAGTGACCTCAAAATCAAAAGGGGTCATCTACTAATCATGATCAACATCCATGCCAAATATGAAGACTGTGGGTCAAAGGAATCTAAAGTTATTGGGCAGACAAACTTTTTGAAGTCAAAGTCCCTGTGACCTTGACCTTTGACCTCAAAATCTATAGGGGTCATCTACTAATCATGACTAACCTCCATTCCAAATATGAAGACTGTGGGTCAAAGGAATCTTAAATTATTGGGCGGACAAGCTTTTTGAAGTCAAGGCCCCTGTGACCTTGACCTTTGACCTCAAAGTCAATAGGGGGCATCTACTAATCATGACTAACCTCCATGCCAAATATGAAGACTGTGGGTCAAAGGAATCTTAAGTTATTGGGAGGACAAGCTTTTTGAAGTCAAGGCCCCTGTGACCTTGACCTTTGACCTCAAAGTCAATAGGGGTCATCTACTAATCATGACTAACCTCCATGCCAAATATGAAGACTGTGGGTCAAAGGAATATTAAAATATTTGGCGGACAAGCTTTTTGAAGTCAAGTCCCCTGTGACCTTGACCTTTGACCTGGTGACCTCAAAGTCAATAGGGGTCATCTACTAATCATGACTAACCTCAATGCCAAATATGAAGACTGTGGGTCAAAGGAATCTTGTTATTGGGCGGACAAGCTTTTTGAAGTCAAGGCCCCTGTGACCTTGACCTTTGACCTGGCAACCTCAAAATCAATAGGGGTCATCTACTAATCATGACTAACCTCCATGCCTAATATGACGACTGTAGGTCAAAGGAATCTTAAGTTATTGGGCGGACAAGCTTTTTGAAGTCAAGGCCCCTGTGACCTTTACCTTTGACCTAGTGACCTCAAAATCAATAGGGGTCATCTACTAATCATGACTAACCTCAATGCCAAATATGAAGACTATGGGTCAAAGGAATCTTAAGTTATTGGGCGGACAAGCTTTTTGAAGTCAAGGCCCCTGTGACCTTGACCTTTGACCTGGTGACCTCAAAGTCAATAGGGGTCATCTACTAATCATGACTAACCTCAATGCCAAATATGAAGACTGTGGGTCAAAGGAATCTTGTTATTGGGCGGACAAGCTTTTTGAAGTCAAGGCCCCTGTGACCTTGACCTTTGACCTGGCAACCTCAAAATCTATAGGGGTCATCTACTAATCATGACTAACCTCCATTCCAAATATGAAGACTGTGGGTCAAAGGAATCTTAAATTATTGGGCGGACAAGCTTTTTGAAGTCAAGGCCCCTGTGACCTTGACCTTTGACCTCAAAGTCAATAGGGGGCATCTACTAATCATGACTAACCTCCATGCCAAATATGACGACTGTAGGTCAAAGGAATCTTAAGTTATTGGGCGGACAAGCTTTTTGAAGTCAAGGCCCCTGTGACCTTGACCTTTGACCTGGCAACCTCAAAATCAATAGGGGTCATCTACTAATCATGACTAACCTCAATGCCAAATATGAAGACTATGGGTCAAAGGAATCTTAAGTTATTGGGCGGACAAGCTTTTTGAAGTCAAGGCCCCTGTGACCTTGACCTTTGACCTCAAAATCAATAGGGGTCATCTACTAATCATGACTTACCTCCATGCCAAATATGAAGACTGTGGGTCAAAGGAATCTTAAGTTATTGGGCGGACAAGCTTTTTAAAGACAAGGCTCCTGTGACCTTGACCTTTGACCTGGTGACCTCAAAATCTATAGGGGTCATCTACTAATCATGACTAACCTCCATGCCAAATATGACGACTGTAGGTCAAAGGAATCTTAAGTTATTGGGCGGACAAGCTTTTTGAAGTCAAGGCCCCTGTGACCTTGACCTTTGACCTCAAAGTCAATAGGGGTCATCTACTTATCATGACTAGCCTCCATGCCAAATATGAAGACTGTTGGTCAAAGGAATCTTAAGTTATTGGGCGGACAAGCTTTTTGAAGTCAAGGCCCCTGTGACCTTGACCTTTGACCTGGCAACCTCAAAATCAATAGGGGTCATCTACTAATCATGACTAACCTCAATGCCAAATATGAAGACTATGGGTCAAAGGAATCTTAAGTTATTGGGCGGACAAGCTTTTTGAAGTCAAGGCCCCTGTGACCTTGACCTTTGACCTCAAAATCAATAGGGGTCATCTACTAATCATGACTTACCTCCATGCCAAATATGAAGACTGTGGGTCAAAGGAATCTTAAGTTATTGGGCGGACAAGCTTTTTAAAGACAAGGCTCCTGTGACCTTGACCTTTGACCTGGTGACCTCAAAATCTATAGGGGTCATCTACTAATCATGACTAACCTCCATGCCAAATATGACGACTGTAGGTCAAAGGAATCTTAAGTTATTGGGCGGACAAGCTTTTTGAAGTCAAGGCCCCTGTGACCTTGACCTTTGACCTAGTGACCTCAAAATCAATAGGGGTCATCTACTAATCATGACTAAGCTCCATGCCAAATATGAAGACAAAGGGTCAAAGGAATCTTAAATTATCGGGCGGACAAGAAAAAACCGACGGACAGCCGTACGGCCGGACGGACGGACAAGCTGATTCCAGTATACCCCCCTTACAACTTTGTTGTGCAGGGGTATAATGACATTTCTTTAGGTCAAAGACTGCCTTTACATTTACACTCAGGACAATTACATTTTATCCAATTGTTCAAAATTGGGCTAATTGTTTTTTTACTGAACAATAAATCTACAAACATACAATCAAACTTAGAAGTGATGTGAATGACATTAAACTAGGTCAAAGGTCATGAAACAAGGGCATTTTAAAGATACCAGAATGACATTAAACTTGGTCAAAAGTCATGAAACAAGGGAATTTTGAAGATGCCAGAATAACATTAAAGTAGGCCAAAGGTTATGAAACATGGACATTTTAAAGATATCAGAATTACATTAAACTAGGTCAAAGGTCATGAAATGGGAACACTTTAAAGATATCAGAGTGGCATTAAACTAGGTCAAAGGTCATGAAACAAAGCCATTTTAAAGATATCAGAATTACATTAAACTAGGTCAAAGGTCATGAAATGGGAACACTTTAAAGATATCAGAGTGGCATTAAACTAGGTCAAAGGTCATGAAACAAGGATATTTAAAATATATCAGAATGACATTAAACTAGGTCAAAGGTCATAAAACAAAGGCATTTTAAAGATATCAGAATTACAATAAACGAAGTGGAAGGTCATGAGTGGTTTGTAAAAACTAGTAACAGAATTACATTAAACTAGGTCAAATGTACCAAAAGCTTTGCAAAACTTGACCAAACATAAGTGAATGTAAATGAAGGAAAAACAAAACCAAAAAACAAAAAGAAAAAAAAAACTTAAAACTTAAATTTTTTTTCCTTAATTTTTTTTTTTCCCCTTAAAAAAAAACAGCAAAAGATAGTAAACAAAATGGAGGCAAAATTTTATTATCAAGCTACAAATCACGTCTAGGTTGAATTCCTTGAAAAACACCAAAAATCATTCGTTCAAAAATACACATAAAATTACAGATTCAACCTTGAAACTACAATTTTCCTCATTTAAAATATACATGTCCTTTTTTTTCTTTTGAAAAAAAAAATCTGTACGGTGAATCAAATTAACATACTTTCCCTATCCATACAGTAAATACAGTAAGTTCAGCAAATTTTTTTAGGACAGGTTTTAAATACTGTAATTTCTTATAATCATGAAATTTCATTTTTCAACATACTTGTATAATACACTGATAGAAATAAAATTTTACATTGTACATATTGTATATATTAAAACTGTACATTTTCAGATATGCAAACAAAATTTACACAAAAAAAAATTTAAAAAAAATTGAAAAATGTGTTAAAATTTTAAGAAATATAGGTAGGGTTGATTTTACAGTATACCCAAAAATGTACAAAATGACATTGGTTAATTTGAGATTTCCATGAAGTCATAAAAATATTGATTTGTTGTGTCTTCTACTTTGTTACAATATACAATATTTTTCTAGGTAAAGGCCATTAACTAAAATATTTAAAACAAATATTATAGTTTGCTGATTTTTGAACTGTGAAATAACTTTTATGTTACTGATATGCATGCCTAATTTCAATATCTCATTGAAAAAAGTATAGGATAAAATTCTACATGAAATTACTACTCATATAAAATCCTATATATGTATAATATTATGTAAAAGAGATACACAGTGAAAAGAAACTTTATATATATGTAGAATTTATAAAACATTTAAAAAAATTCAAAGAAAAATGTGATAAGATTTAAATAAATGTATATAGAAAATACATATATTGTGAATAAGAAACAAAATATACATGTACATGATATATGTATACATATATGAAAGAGTCTCAAATATAGAAAACAGTCATGGTGAATGTGAAAAATCCATTGGTAAAATTCAGAAGATAAAATATCAATATGAGCCGCGTCAAGACAAAACCAACGTTGTGGGTTTGCGACCAGCATAGATCCAGACCAGCCTGCCTATTCGTGCAGTCTGATCAGGATCCATGCTGTTCGCTTACAGACCATATTACAAGTAGAGAAATTGATAGCGAACAGCATGGATCCTGATCAGACTGCGCAGATGTTGGTTTTGTCGTGACGCGGCTAATATATAAATGATAAAACCAAAAGAATACATGATAAAAAGACACAAATAAAAAGCACATAAAACAAAAACAAATTTCAAGCAAAACAAAGTGTGTCTAGCAATGATTTACAAAATCCAAGGGAATGATTTACGAAATCCAATGAAATGATTTATAAAATCCAATGATATGATTTACTAAATCAAATTATTTAGTATGTTTTATATTCTGGTCATGGTCTGCATTGAAATATTAATGCAGATTAGGAGGGTCAGCTGTCATTCATCAAATCTTTATGCTTCTATACAGTTGAATAAAATTTTGTAGCAAAGTTCTGTAGCAAATAATTTTCTAGCAGAGTTCAAACAAGAGCTGTCACCCAAGTGACAAATGCCCCCGAAAAAGGTTTCTTAAGCATGCAGGTATTATGAAAAGAAAAGAGAATGAAAGTAACTAATTGCTGAATATTGTTCTTTGTAATATTGTACCTGTAATCTCTAATTGTGATAGCATGAACCTTCAAAATATAAGTGTGACCTTGACCTTTGAAGAAGGGATGTGGTTCCTGGTTGCGACAAAAGGTTGTTATGAGATAGACATTTGTGCCAAATTATTTCAAAATCCCTCAATGCATGACAAAGTTACAGTCTGGACATGATTGTTGTGTAAGTGGGGACACACAGACAGATAGACATGAGCCTTAGCCGCAACACATTGTCTTGATGTGGTAGACATTTATGCCAAGTTATTTTAAAATCCTTCCATGCATGACAAAGTTAAAGCCCGGACATGAATGTGTATCTTCAAGCTATAAGTGTGACCTTGAAGGTGGGGACATGGGTCTTTGTTGTGACATTTCATCTTGATGTGGTAGACATTTATGCCTAGTTAGTTTAAAATCCTCCAATGTTTGACAAAGTTACAGCCCGGACACGAATGTATGTACCTATAAACACTAATTGTGATAAAGTGAAGTTCCAAATGGTAGTGTGACCTTGACCTTTGAGGTAGGGACGTGATTATTGGATGCGACTAATTGTCTTGATGTTGTAGACATTTATCCAAAGTTATTCTAAAATCCTGTTATAATGTATGACAAAGTTACAGTCCAGACACAAATGAAGTGGGACAGACAGACGAACGGACAGACAGACGGTGCGACTATATTATACCTCCCTTGGGGGGCATAAAAAGCAAGAAATCCAAGCTTTATATACATGCAAAAAGTTTGAATCACACTCTCATCACCTTGACAAAGTCATAACACCCAAGTATAACATACCTGTTTCTCTTTTGCTGCCTATAACATTAAAATTATAAAACCTAACAAACTGTTCTTATTGACTTTAAATCATTGTGGAAACATTTAAATAATAATTATCTACTTCACAAATCCAGTGAGATGAGAAGAGTAACTGCTTACTAAAGGTTTACAAAAGTTTAGCTCTTCTTTCTTTTTTGGAGGTTAAGACTTTGTGAAGTAGATAATTATTCTTATTGAGTCTTTATAGTCATATACCCGGTATATTCAAATCCTAGGTTAATCAACAAACTCTTTTGTGGAAAAAGAAAAAAAGCAGTTTGTTGCCTAGGTTACTCATGAAAAAATAATAACAATGGTGAACTTGAAATATTGCTAGTTACAAAGGCAAAATTTGAGATAGGATTAAATTATACTGGTAAAAAAATTAAGTTTGATGAAGATCCAGCCACATGTTTGTGTAAAAGTCATTTAACACTTATGAGAAACAATGGATAAAAAGGCACAAACACACTGGAAATCCTCACCTGGTTTTCGTGAACTGAATTGATTTAAGCTTAACAATTTATGATCATATGCATTGTAAGAATTTGTTTGTTTTTTGGTCATTTGCATTTTCTAACATACTTAAAGCTACAGCATTGACCGATATGCAAATGTGATTTATTACCATCATTAACTCAGCTATATGACTGACTGCTTTATAAGTCGGGGTGTCAATTTTATACATAAAATCAGCAGAATATGGCAGTAACCCAATAACTACACTGCCTTCTCTGTTTAAAATAGCTTTAAATATTCCAACACACATAATGAGGTTTGTAAATAGTTCAGTAAGAGATGAAAACATTTTGAATTTTAACTGTCATATTAACATTATTGAAATTTTATTCAATATGCCACTTTTAAAATCCAGAAAATTATTTTTACCTGTAATTCTTTCAAAGTCTGGTCCTGTTTCTGAAGAACTGCTTGTCGTCTGGCTGTACCAACCTAAAACATTACCAACAAGAGCTGTCCGTAAGACAGCGCGCTCGACTTTTTTATTGCTTGCCAATAAAAAAAGTTTTTGCAGTAAAAGGCAATACAAGAATCTCTGTATTTTTAAAGTGAACTAGTTGTTTGATACCCTTGAATATTACAGCAATGTTTATATGACATAATTTATGGTAAAGTGAACAAGTGGATAGGAATGAATTTTTTTAGATTTTTTAAGTTTTTTAGTGCTTGCCTATAATACAAAACATTGACAGTTAAGGGCCATAATTCAAATAAAATCTTTGACAGAATTACCTTCTCCTGGACATGTTTGGGAATCATGATTGTAAACAAGTATTCCAACTTTCAAATTAATATCTCAAACAGTTCAGTCAAAAAGTGGACTGGTACTAAAAACTTAACCAAGATTCTAAGTCGATAAAAGGCCTTAATTTTTAAAAACAAATCCTTGACAGAGTTACCTTCTCTTGCGTACAGATGGGGGTAATGATGTGAAATAGCATTAAAAGTTTCAAAGCAATATCTCAAAGGGTTAAGGCAATAAGTGGATTTTACCCATATTCAATGTATTTTCTAAGTCAAAAAGGGGCATAATTCTGTCAAAAACCTTGACAGAGTTATGTCCTCTTGTCTGTTGATGAAGGTCGTGATGGTAAACAAGTATGGTCAGTTTCAAAGCAATACCTCCAATGGTTTTGAAATAAAGTGAGGTGGTACAAAAAACTTAACCAAGCTCAATACACTTTCTAAGTCAAAAAAGGGCCATAATTCTGTCAAAAACCTTGACAGAGTTATGTACTCTTGTCTGTAGATGGAGGTTATGATGGTGAACAAGTATGGTAAGTTTCAAAGCCATACTTGTAATACTTCTGAAATAAAGTGGGGTGGTACGAAAAACTTAACCAAGGTGTGACGCCAACGCCGACGCCGACGCCGACGCCGGGGCGAGTAGGATAGCTCCCCTTTTCATAGAAAAGTCGAGCTAAAAATTGTCAAAATTGCTTCCATTCCTATGAAAAGTCAATGGTTATAAAGCTAAAATAAGTTCTATGACCAGTCACCACAAAATAAAATTTGAATTAAACAGTGACCAATTGTGCAGTATAAAATTTAGACAGACTTGTTTACAAATAAAACATTTTTTGGTTTGTTTGGTTTTACAGTGCAACGTCATATGGCACTGAAACAGGAAAGATGAATTTGGCATTAACAATCTTCAAAGCAATGCCAGAGGTCAAAACCACCTCAACTGCTAGAGCTAAGAGATGCACAGAGTCCAGTAATTTGGAACCATTTAGTTGCCTCTTACAATCACGCAGGGTTAAACAGTGGCTGCAATTATGATGCCTCAACCTGTAAAGGCAACCCCTCAGCCACAAGGGGCACATTTTTTTAACAGACATGTCAGAGTAATAGCAGACTCTAATTAAAATGGGCTGGTCAACATTTAAACAATTCTCATTGAATAAATTAAGAGCAAACATGTTATACATATAGGTAATTCATTCTAAATATCATGTTAAAATAAATTTAGCCGCGCCATGACAAAACCAACATAGTGGGTTTGCGAACAGCAAAGATCTAGACCAGCCTGCGCATTCGCGCAGTCTGATCAGGATTCTTGCTGTTCGCTATCAGTTTCTCTACTTGTTATAGGGTTTTATGAGCGAACAGCATGGATCCTGATCAGACTGCACGAATGTGCAGGCTGGTCTGGATCCATGCTGGTCACAAACGCACTATGTTGGTTTTGTTGTGACGTGGCTCAATTATATAATCAGTTATGTTAACTGTACCTCTAATCTTCCCATTAACACAGCCAGTTCCTTTTCCTGCTGAGTGAGAGCAGCCTCTGTTTCAGCAGCCAATCGTTTTCTTAGATTTGCTTCAGCTTCCCGCCTTTCCTTTTCAAAAAGTGCCATTTCCTGGTCCTACAGAACAAGAATTAGAGAATATAGGTTGAAAAAGTGGCTTAGAGATTATAACTCAGAAACAAGGTCAGAATTAAAACTTCTACATCATGCATTATATTTTATTACTGGTTAAGAGATTAATGATTTGGCGTTATATTTTATTACTGGTTTAGAGATTAATGATTTGGCATTATATTTTATAACTGGTTTAGAGATTAATGATTTGGCATTATATTTTATTACTGGTTTAGAGATTAATGATTTGGCATTATATTTTATTAATGGTTTAGAGATTAATGATTTGGCATTATATTTTATGAATGGTTTAGAGATTAATGATTTGGCATTATATTTTATGAATGGTTTAGAGATTAATGATTTGGCATTATATTTTATGAATGGTTTAGAGATTATCTTACAACAGCATTTGGGTAAGAGGTTATGTCTTTTTATCCAAAATTTTTGTGTGATTTAATATATTTTGCAATTCAACACCAATCAAGTGGCAAATTAATTGTTGCATTATTACTCAAGTTATCCAAAAAATGAAACTCTACACAGATACTGAATCTTTAGGGGTTTTTTTGTTGTTGTTGTTTTTAACCCATTACTTCATATACACGCCTTTTAACGCCTTTTTCACCCCCCCCCCCCTTTTTGTTGTCTCAAATGATGAAAAAATGCCTTATTTAGGCCCCAAACACTTGTTTTTGTTTGAGAAATGTTGTTAAAAAAATTGACCTCTTTTTCGGCGCGGCCCCCCAACCAAAAGATACATCAGGGGGTTGCCAGAAGGGGGATGTGCCCCCTTCTGTTTTGGGTGGTTTGAAGGGGGGCGGAGTCCCCCTCATCGCCAAGAAAATTTTGGACTTGTGAGAGGCTGTAAATGACCCCAGATTAATCATAAGGTAACGTGTAACCAACGCTGAAAAGCATTTGACTCTATCTCAATCCATTGATAAGTTGCAGCACTTTGAAATTAATTTTGATGGAAAAAATCAACGCAAAATAGTGATTTTTGGCAATTTTGAGATGTCCCCTCGTTGCCATGGTAACAGAAAATTTAAGTCTGAGCATGTTGTTGCAAGGACAATGGTCCAGTCAACATTTGTGCCAAGTTTGATTAGTGTTGAAGCAGTTTTTATAGTATTATAGCAATTTGAACTTGTAACGGGAGACTTTTCAATGAAAACAGCCATTTTTCACAAAATGCTCATGAAGCAATGGGTTAAACTGCAGAAGAAATGCTCCAGATAAACTGTTGACCTACATTTTTATTTCTCATGTCAACTATTTGCACCGATAAAAAGTTCATTATTCCATATTAAATATCAGTCGGATATGACAAATTGCTCTCAAGTAAGGCATCCATCATAATATTGAATTTCCCTCCAAAAGAAGGCTGCATGCTGCGCATATCAAAAAGCTTTGGAGACACACCACAATTTAATGACATCCACATATGTTACACTGTTAATTCATTGCGACAATTAAAGCGACAAATGTGATTGAAAGCAGATAGCATATGCTTATGAATTCAAGTTGCGTTTATTCAATATTGCAGCATAAGTTGTAGACTTTTAAATAACCACTTTCGTGACTTTATAAAAAAAACAAGTTTTCTGGCCTTTGTTTTACAACTCGGATTTTACTATACATGTATTTTTAAAATCAATATAATTAATGTAAGTCATATAATTAAATGTTGGTCGTATTCAACTTTTCTGTCATATTCTCTTTATGAAAGTCATATTTTACTAATGTCAGTCATATTTTACTAATGTCAGTCATATCTTTCTTATATCAGTCATATCCTACTAATGTCAGTCATATTCTACTAATGTCAGTCATATTTTACTAATGTCAGTCATATTTTACTAATGTCAGTCATGTTTTACTAATGTCAATCGTATTTTACTAATGTAAGTCATATTTTACTAATGTCAGTCATATTTTACTAACGCCAGTCATATTTTACTAATGTCAATCAAATTTATAATGTCAGTCATATTTTCAAATGTCATATATATTTACTTATGTCAGTCATATTTTATCTGTATGCAAGTAATTCTTTACTTATGTCATTCATATTCTACTAATGTCAATCATATTTACTTTCATCAGTCAATTTCTATCCCCTATCTAAATTCAGCCATGTAAGAGAATTTTAATGCCACATTAGAACAATAAAATGAACAGCAACAGAGAAGATATATTGTTACCTATTGTTGCAAACACCCAAGTACATTTGTTTGTACAAATAGACAACATTTCAATATATCTCCTTTCCAATTATACCAGAGGCGGATATCAAAATATATAACTGATAAGGAAAATGAAAGACTAGTAAAACAATAGATTAATATCCTGTCTACAGTAATATATCTCTGTTATTAAATACTTAAGGAAGCTAATCTAGTATACCAAAGCATCTTGCAGTTTTTGTATTTCCTTCTCCGATGCATTTTTCCTGTCTGCGAGGATCGCGGCTTGTTGAGCTTGTATTTCCGCAAGACGAGCCTTTCTCTGACTAAGCTTATGTTCCAAGCTATAAAATAAAGAAAATATCTGATTCAATATTGGTTATGAATAATATAGAGTAGAATTTCATTTTATTTCAGTGAAAAGATCAAAATATATCTCATTGAGTGATAATCAAGATGTGATATATTCATGAGTAAATATCTGATGTAATATTTTCTGGAGTTAACATACCATGTTATAATTTTATGAATCATCTAATGTAATACTGATATATTTTCAGGAGTGAACATATGGTGTTATATTTTCATGAGTGAACATATGGTGTTATATTTTCATGAGTGAACATATGGTTTTATATTTTCATGAGTGAACATCTAATGTAATATTTTCATGAGTGAACATCTAATGTAATATTTTCATGAGTGAATATCTAATGTAATATTTTAATGAGTGAACATCTGATATAATACTTTAATAAGTGAACATCTTATTTAATAGTTTCATGAATGAACATAAGATATTTTCATGATTGAACAATTCTTATATAATAGTTTCATGAGTGAACATCATTTTTATTAAATGAGTTTCTTTTTACACTGCAGCACAGTGGTTTATGTATCATAAAAATTCAATACTATGCCAATAAACAAACCTCATTTGTTGTTTGGCCTTACTCCTAGACAGCTGGTTATTTAATGCCACCATGTTTCTCTCATGCTCTTTCAATATCTTCTCTTTAGCTCTGAAAAAACAAAGCATTTTATATATATCGATAGGCTAGCCAGAAATACTGAGTGGTTAAAATCTCTTAATTTGAATTACATGTCCGTCATCGCTGCAAGTTCAAATCCCAGTAGGGATGTTGAGGTGAGGAAACCCCCATCAAGCCAGTTTACAATGTTCATGTTGCAAATCTCATATTCCCTTTTTCTGAACATATATTACTACACAGAACATCACCTGAGCCCTAAGGTGTTTAAAACCACCTAGCTTTTGAAGTTAAAAAAAAATGATAAATATTACCATCTATAGCAACAGCTATTTTCAATACTACATGGAACAAAATTAAATATGGTTAAAGGAATATGTTCTCTTCTCTGTTCATCAATTTTTCAAAAAGTTTTTCATGCCATGTTTTCTAGAATTGCCTTTCATATAAACATCACTCATGCATCAAATCTGCAATTCAAAATCAAACTGGTAACCTTTTTTTTCAACCTTGATTCTCAAAGGTCTGACTGGTCCTTTCTATACAAATCTCTTTTTCACTGGCAAATGAAAATAGTATGTTTGTGTAAAGATTTTTTTTGAATTTGAATTTTAAATCAATTCATGACCTTTGACCCCAGACTGTGACTTAAACTTACTCTTCTGAAAGGTCAATATTGCTGTTGAGAACACGTTTCACAGTCTTGTCTTGTTGATCCAAGATGGCTTCACGCTGGGCATCATCTTGTTTCCTGTCTTCTTCCACTTTCTGCAAGAAAAAACAAGAACCAGTTGAACTGGGTAATGCTCCCCAAAAAGGTTTTGAACACAGAAAAGAATACCTCTTGTAGTTTCAGAGTTATGTCCCAGTCAAAGTGTAATAATTCCAAACTTAGGCAAGACAGAGTTACTATTCTTTGCACTGCTCATCTACCCAATAATATCTATCTACCTACAAAGTTTCTTGTTCATATCTCTTATAGTGTCACAGTAATGTTCCAGACAAAGTTCAAAAAGTAAATATGTAGGGCAATAACTCCAAAATTAGGCAATACAAAGTTACGGTTCTTTTGCACTGCACTTCTTCTCCAATGACATCTATCTACCTACAAAGTTTCATGTTGATATCTCTTGTTGTTACAGAGTTATATACCAGACAAGAAAAGCAGACAGACAGACGGACAGACAAAGCAGAGACTTTATGCTCATCCTTCAGGGAGCATAAAAAACAACATCAAATACAAGGTACTCCATCATAAATCATAATTACAGTGTGAATAATTACATTTGCATATTCTTGGGATATACATTTATTTATTTCCACCTACAAAACTGCGTCATAATTTAATAAATTTAATTTTTTTTTCTACTCAAATGAAAGGTCAAAATATAATACAGGCTCCAACGAAAGGTAAAGTGACCAGAAGTAGCAGGTACTTGTAACCGCAAGATATGGTAGATTGAAAATGTATATGCTTGCAAAACTTGGTGCAGTGATTTCGTTAAACCACTCTGATCACAAAGTCTGAAAATATTAAATGTATGACAAATTTTTACTCTTCATAACTCTGTAATATATAGAGGATATTTGTTTGTTTTGCATGTAAGATTGAAATATATTTCACTGAGTGAACACCAGATTCAATATTTTCACAAGTGGCGTAGCCACAAGTGAAAATAGAATAGCTAGTGTTCACGAATTAAATATATTTCAATCTTATATGTAAAACAAATAAACTTTCTTTTTATTTCATGCTTTTTAAGTGCTTTTAAGTATTTTTTACTGATTTTGCTGCGTAACACCGCACATTCTCCTTTGTGACGTCATCACATCATGACGTCACATCATCATGTTTGAAATATAGTTGTGTTAAATTTCTCTAATTTTGTTACATTTTTAACATGATGTACGATGACATCGACTTTCTTTTTCTAAAGAAGCAAAATTTACGTATGTTGGCATTTATTTCTGCCTGTTATTCCATATAGTTATGATTTTCTTTTCATCCGCATTCAGATATAGTCCGGCTACAGTGAAAATAATATTTTTGATTTTAAAAGTGGTTTATCAGAATATAATCATCTGATATATTACAGAAAAACACTGAAAAGCATGAAATAAATAGTGGATATCAATGATATTCAATACAATTATAAAATTTATTGCCTTGTTATTACTTGTCTATTTATCAAAGTTCATTCCCTACATAATATTGTCTCCTTCTATACAGGGTGTGCATAATGTTTTTTCCCAATATTCTAGAAACATATGTTAGGTAATACAATCAAACTTATGTCCTTGGATTTTGTTTGTTTGTTTCATTTGACGCCTTTTCCCAATAGTATTTTAGTCATATAGGCGGGTACTTTCCTAGCCATCGTTTCTGGAGAGTTACACCAGTACTAGACTACCTTCTCCGTGCTAAACTACCAAAGCAGGGATCGAACCCACGCCAGAGAAGTAACTGGATTAGAAGTCATCAACTCTAACCCCTCGACCACAGAGGCGGTATGTCCTTGGCAATAACTTGGCAATAACTATAATGCGGCCATAAGTATGATGCCACCATAAATCTTATCCTGCATTAGATCTTATTATGCCATCTATATTCATTTGGCAAATAAAATGGGCTATAATGCTATGTTGATAATCATAAATTTATTTTCAATTTTTACTAATTTGGAAATAAAATCAGAAAGAAAACAATGTGTGCCACTAGATGTTCAGTTGCTAAAACTTGTCAATTAAATTATTACTAAGTTATAAAGGACACACTAACACACTTTGGTTTGCTGACTTATGACTAAGTATATATATATACAGTACGCCCATGCATGGAGGTGACAAGGTGAAATGAAAAAAAAAAAGTTTCACATACCCCTAACAAGGAAATATAATAGAAATCTCGGTCAGACTGAGTGGGAGTTTCCAGGTAAGAGCAGATAAAATAGAACTCATTATACATGTATATGCATAAAAGCTGAAAATTCCTTGAAAAAAAAAATGGTTTAAATGAGGAATAAAGTATTCATGAATATGCCAGACCTAACAAAATGTGAAACTTAATATCAGCAAATATAACAATACTGAATGTTATTATATTGCAATTTAACAGCAACACTGTTCCAACTGGATATAGTACAGTGTTGTCATCCGATAAGTTAATATTGGTTAACACAACACAGTTCTAACTCAAGTTAACTCTCTGTTGCATTATAGTTATACACATATTTGAGATAGTTTGCAAAATTTCAAATGGCAAACAAAACCCAAAAAAGTTCACAATTACTTCTAATGTTTTATGTACTGGTGTATTTCATGCAATTAGGCCAAAAAATTGATAAAAAAAATGAAAACAAAAATTGAAAAATTAAAAAACAAAAAACAAAAAGAGCACGGCTAGGCGGAGCATTATATGCCCAAAAGTGTTTTGATTTTTAGTAAGGATGAAGCATTTGTAAGACATGGGATTTGATAAAGTATTACCTCTTTCAAATAGCAATCCTCTTATGAAGTGTGAATACTGTAGGCCAAAAGGAACTTAAGCTATGCTCCGGAAAATGTTTTCAGTTTTAAGGTAATAATGACCTTGAACTTTGATCTTGTGACCCCAAAATCAATAGGGGTGTTCTACCCAATATAGACAATCATCCTATGAAGTTTGGACACTGTGGGCCAAATGGAATTTAAGTTAGGGTGTGGAAACTGTTTTCAGTTTTAAAGTAATAATGACCTTGACCTTTGACCTTGTGACCCCAAAATCAATTGGGGTATTCTACCCAACATGGACAATCATCCTATGAAGTTCAAAAACTGTGGGCTAAATGGAAGTTAAGCTATGTTCTGGAAACTGTTTTCAGTTTGAAGGTAATATTGACCTTGACCTTTGACCTTGTGACCCCAAAATCAATAGGGGTCTTCTACCCAATATGGATAATCATCCCATGAAGTTTGAATATTGTGGGTCAAATGGAACTAAAGTTATGCTCCCGAAACCAAATTGCTAATGGACGGACAGACGGACGGACAGAGGGACACCAGGGGGTATAACATAATTTGCCCAAATTTCTTTCCGGCATATAAAAATCAAGTTAGACCAGTGTTGCATTAAACCATTGAGTTGCACATGTAATTTGATAGTCTGTTTAATTCAGTATCAGAGTATTACAATTATACAAGGAAGTTTTTTAAATTAATGATTAAAATATATTTTATGATTCTTAGGGAGTGGGTGGATATTAATAACCAACAGCTCACTTGTCATTACGCAATGTATAACTATTTGAGTTTTGTTTTAAAGGTGCTCAACTGAGGTCTAAAAGCATAAAAAAGTTAAAACTAAATTTCTTACATAGATCAGTTGGGGCACTTAAACTAATAGATAATGTAATAAAATTTAGTAAAGTATACACTAAAAAATAAACTTAGCCCAATTTGAGTGAAAAGCCCTTTTCCATTTTGGGTCATTTTTCACAATTACAATAATTATTCTGGAAAAATGGAGTGCATTCAAGCTATTGGTCAAGAACTACATCAAATGGAAAATAAATCTTGAAAAATTATTTCTAGTCTTATCATTGTAAATAAACCTCAGTGGAGTCCCTTTAAATGGTATTTAAAACAGATATATCTCAACTTTCACACCTTACTCATGGACGGAAAACTAAGATGCCCCGCTAATTTTATTGTTTAAGAACTTAAACAAGTATCTGATATAACCATAACCCTACTGAAACCTAGAGTCAAAAGTCTTCACCACTTGTGTAGAGTCGGACCAGCCAGCCAGCTGGTCCGTGCAGTCTGACAGGGCTCTACAACACTGTTGACCAACTAACTTTAAACCTCCATCTTGATAACCTCAAAAATGGTAATTGAAATTAATACAAATTCAGCAGATAAATTGTTGACCACTTGTCTTCTATATGTTGGCTGGAACATTCAATCTTAAAGCCGCATGCCTCTAGATAAGCAAAAATTTATAACTTGAGAAAAATGTACTAAGATTTTAACAAAAGTAAAAAGATTCAACACTCAAGTTATAATTCAACCGTTAAGTGTGATGGATTGAGTGGTTGATTCATTCATTCATGGGCAATGTAAAATCCATTACTTTTCGGGTTTTTCTCCAGACTAAATCGAGGTATGAACAATTTTAGGGCAATAACTCCTATATCATGCAAAAAGAAAGTTATAGTTCTCGGGCAATTCACTTTTCCTCAATGAGATATGTGAAGTTTCAAGTTGATATTACTTTCTGAGTTATGGCAAGGGCCAATCTGGCTAAAGTTCAGCACTTTTTATGTTAACAGGTTGATCTGTTAAACTAATATCATATACCGGTAGTTATACTTTAATGTTGCATTCAAAGTATGACGCAAGAAAAGTGAGATGCACAATCCGAAATCTATATCTATATAACTTTCAGGTGGGTGTAATAATAAAATTTTTTACTCCATTTGTATAAATATGCATTTTCTACTATAAAGAAGAGGTCAATTCACTTAACCTTTTGTAAAGAAAAAAAACTGTGATTGGAGCATTTATCAAAATGATCTTAAAATTTCATATGACTCATAACGATACTTCAAAAGGGAAAATATTTATTCATCTATTTCCAATTTTAAATTGATATCATAGTAAGAAAATCTCCTATACATTTGTTCAATCTTCTTAACTTGAGAGCTTGTGTTGCCCTATGGGGATTTAATTTAATCTTAGAAAGACAGCTTAAATTGCACATTTAATAGTCTTCTAAAGGAAGTTAATAAATTTCCATGAAATTCATTTCTATTATAAAAACTTGAACATATTATAAATCAGGGGGAATTTAATGTAGAAATACAAGTCTGCATGTCTCTCAAGTGATCTTATGATCAAATGATTTAAGAGGTTGTATATAAATGTATGAGAGCTTACACAACAACTGACATGAGAATTTTAGTCATCTCAAAGATCTTTAGATTATTCATGTTATAGATTAAAGATTTTGAGATTGAAAAATTCTATTTTTAGAATGAAAAATTCTATTTTTAGATTGAAAAATTCTATTTTTAGAATGAAAAATTCTATTTTTAAAATGAAATTCTATTTTAAGGAGTAAGATTCTATTTTTAGGTTGAGGATTCTATTTATAGTTTAAAGAAGATTAAAGTCACTTATACAATCATACTGTCACCCTGCAGGTTCAACTGGCAGTGGCAATGGCAAAGAAAGGCTGAATTTATCTCTCCATGAATCTTGCAGGCACTAATTTTAACATTTGTATCATCCGTTACCCTTTACCTCATATATACATGTACGCGAAACCACGCACTTTCGACCCCCCCCCCTCTTTTTCGTCTCAAATAGTGAAAAAATGTCCTATTTAGGCCCCCAACACATATTTTCCTTTGAGAAATGTTGCTAAAAAAAGTGAGCACTTTTTGGGCACCGCCCCCCATCCAAAAGATACATCAGGGGGTTGCCAGAAGGGGGATGTGCCCCTTCTGTTTGGGGAGTTTGAAGGGGGCGTTAAATAAGTCCCCCTCATAGCCAAGAAAATTTTGGACTTGTGGGAGGCTAAAAATGACCCCAGGTTGATGCTAAGGTAACGTGTAACCAAGGCTGAAAAGCCTTCAACTCAATCTCAATCCCTTAAGAAGTTGCAGCACTTTGAAATAAATTTTTAATGGAAAAATCAAGGCAAAATAGTGATTTTTGGCAATTTTGAGACGTCCCCTCGTTGCCATGGTAACAGGAAATTTAAGAGTGAGTATGTTGTTACAAAGGCAATGGTCCAGTCAACATTTGTGCCAAGTTTGATAAGAATTGAAGCATTTTTCATAGTTTCATATCAGTTTTAACTTGTAACAGGAGGCTTTTCTATGAAAATGGCCATTTTTCACATTATGCTCATGAGGGAAAGGGTTAGGGTGTTAAGTGGGTACATGGGGGAGTACTAGAGGGAGTAATCTGACCTAAACAGCAAACACAATCTGTGGCAGGAACGACAAACAAAACGTTCAGGAAGGATAATAATCCTTCCAAGTTACATATAAGAGGTTTTTGAAGAGACAATTTCCAACTAGAAAGTAAAAATGTAATCAAGGATACTTGTTACTAATAGCTAGAATTTTAACTAGACATGTTCAAAGACAACACAATCTACTTCTCTCAGTGCTGGAGAGTAAGAAAATAAGCAAAGTAGTAAAGGGGTATAAGTCTGCAAAAGCAGTTGACAGAATTACCTGCCTTTGATAGTTGTGATTTATATATAAATTCTCAGTAGAAACAGGGCATTACTGAGCAAATATTTTGTTGTACCCTTTTTGGAAATGCATTCCAAATTTGATAGTGAACTAGGATTGCAGATTTGAAATGAGAAATTGACCTTAAGCAACGGGCAACTACATTTAATCAAAAATTAATTCTAGAATGATCTGCCTATGTGATATGGCACCACATTTTGACAAAAAAACAAAGTTACCAAGTTTGAAATAAATAGTGCATGCCACCAGAAGAGAAAATCAATCGCGAAACTGCACTTAGATTTTCAGAAAATAAAAAGATTCAAGTAATTATATACATGTTATGCCCAATTATGACTGGATTTACAGTATTTATCACATGTTTCTAATGCAGTTAGGACTATTTTGCATATTTTGACCTCTTTTTGTTAATTTACATAGATTTTTTTGCACATTCTGTAATGTATAAATCACTTTTTTGTTCACTTCACAATATTTTACTTTTAATCATACAATACTCTCAAAATGTTTATGACAATAAGCATGAATATGGAGGCATGCCGCTTTAATATAAATGTTAACCAAACACCAATGCCAGTAAGTGGCTGCATGCTCTAGTGGTTAACATTTCAGACTAGTAATCTATGGATTGCTAGCCATGCGTTCAAAACCCGTCGTTTCCTTGAGCAAGAAACTTTACACTTATTGTTCAGTAAAGGTTGGTTCTAGGGACAGATTCAAAGTGTGTCTATAAGCTTATAGCTTCCTTCACAATCGAACTAAAATAAATTCTGTATAAACCAACGCCAATAAGACGGTTATGACAATAGCTCCACATTTTTTTCTTCAGAGAGTAGAGCTTGTTAAATCAAACATTTCCAAACCTAGACCAGTACGCATATCTTTCTTGTCTTTCTTAATTCAAATAAAGCTGCATATTAATATGAAAATGAATTTTCTCAATAATGTAGACATTCTAGAAGAAACAAAACAAAAACAACACCATCTATCTTACTTTCAAAGCAAGTAACAGTTGTTTCACCATTTTAAAGCTCTCATTATATTTTTTCATAAATTTCTTACATTGTTTTTCTCTTAAATAAATGGTATTGATCTAAAAAGTTTTGTTTAACAGGCTATAGATGAAGGACAAATTTGCAACAGATAATTTGTTTTAACATACAGAAAATGTTGGGTTTGTTGAACTGCAAAAGTGTGAATTTTGATTTATTGCAGAAACATATGTTTTCACTGATGTGTGCATACATCTATTGTTTATTTAATTATGCTACAAGCTACAATATTTTCAAGATCAATGTTTGATTTAAAACCTGTGTGGCAACAACTGGCGTAAAAACTGTTAAAAATTTCAAAATCTGCAAAATCATGTTGTTTTTGCATATTCTTATGGTCATACCAGGAGCAATCTTTCCATAAAAGTGTCTATATTAATAATATCTATATTTATATTAATATTTATATTAATATGCTAAATTAAAAACCATGAATCATATGAGAAAAGAGAGTAAAATTAAAAATAAATTCCCTAACAAAATATTCAAACTGCTATCTTAAGAAAGACTTGTGACAACTTTAACGCATGTACCACCCACTTCACAGGAAAGTTACAAAAATCATTGTTTTCGCTACAATGTTTATTTACATAGATAAAAATATCCCACCAATAACAAACAATCTATCAGAGTTATATACCTTTAAAATTTTGAGCCTGTGAATGAGCCTGTGAAATATTTTCTTCCACAATACATCTCTAAAGAATATGACAGAAGAAATTCCCCTTCAATATACAGTCAAACATGTTCCAAAAGCACCCTTGATGAACCGTCTACAGTCAAACCTGTCAGTGATACCATGACTGTCCTCTGCAAACAGCCCTCTTAAGAAAATTTCATGTGTATATTTTCCGTAATGCATGTGTTACCAATTTCTCACATAATTTTTGAATTAATCTACATCCTTTCTGCCCGTTAATATTATCAATCACAAACAAAAAAGCACATGCACAAACCTTCATTCTTTCTTGCATTTTCTGCTGAAGTCTTGCCCGGGTTCTTTCGAGCTCATCACGGCGACGCTGATCGAAAGCATCCATGCGTAAATTATGAAGTTTTATGATACGTTTGACATCACTCTCCGGGAGTTGACCCATCTGTGATACAGACTGAACCATCTTATCTGACATCTCTTGTACTGACTTTTCCTTTTGTTCCTCAAGGTCCTGTAATTACCAAAAAGAGTTAATTATTTTTTTTCTATTACAATATTTCTTTGGGCTTTTCAAAATTGAGGCTCCACTTGAAAAAGATTTCAGTTCAAGTTATAACTTTATCTGATCATAAAAATTGTTATAAATCATGCAACATTAAAAAAAATTCATTTGTTTTGTTTTTCGGTGAAAAGATAATTCATTAAAAGTCGCAAATCCCTAAATTTACTTAAAGCCACGACATAACAAAATGGAACAAGCAATTTGAGATTAAGGTTGCAGTATCTTCTTGTCAATTCAGGTAAACCGCTGTCATTTTATTTTGATAATTGTTGCAACATGGTATCTGTTTATTCATAATAAACATGAATAAGAGAAATGGCATAAGAATTTAACATTCCTTTTGTAAATAAGTTGTCATACCACGATATTATGAAAACTTTAAAAACGTAAATTTTACAGTTACAACATTTAAACACTACCCTTGTTGATTGGCTGCCAATTTGATGCTAAGATAAGCCTGTTTATGTAATCAGTACTTGATTGTATTGTTACATTATTCTCCAGATAAAAGGTAATAATTCAATCTCTATCGATTCATTATCAACATTTTGCAAGATTCTGTAGTATTTTACCCTTACTACCCTCAATATCTTTAAAAGATATGCTGACCTTTCCATCTCACCAAAACCTTTTCAGGGAAAATTTCAAAAAGCAGAATAGCGAAAGTGCAACTGAAAAACTGAATGAATAGCTAACAATGTTGACCATGATAATTAGACAGTACAATATGATTTCTGTCTGCGTCAGTCTAATGGGTAAATTCTGTCGCCAGCAGCAGGCTAGAGGTTATATTAGTTCCACTATACCCTCTCTTGAGAAAGCTTTTATATGGATATCATGAAAATGGAGCGCTAATAAAATACAACATGGGCGACAGTAAATTGTATCTAAGCCGGGAACCATACCTGTGTGAGCCTATCTAGTTCCTGTATTTCTGTCTGGTCTATTTCCATCTGTGTGGCCTCCACTTCCTGTTGTTGTTGTTGCAGCAAACTTTGAAAATTCTGAATTGATAACAATATTTTGGTTTTCTGATGCCCGTTTAAAGTTGAGTTTGTGAATAATATGCTAGGGTTGATTTTAATAACCAAAACTACAGAATTTCAGCAAATACGACACTTGCTTTCATGAGTTCTAAATTACAGAAAAATCTAAATGAAAAAAAAATTGTCTTTGAATTAAAGAGGTTAATCATGTCACATATGTATATTTTCTAGTAAAGAAAAACTTTGAATTAAAAAAAATGAACAGAACTTACTGCACTGAAGTCCGCAGAATTTGTACTCTTCTCTGACTTCTGTAAAAAGCTGGCCTTCTCTTTCATGTGTTTATCAGCCAGTTTATTCATTCTCTGTTCACGTCGCTTTCTCAGTTTTTCAGCAAGGTCAACTTGGAGACGCATGGAATCTGTTAATTAATGACAGAAAATTAGAAATAGTTTAATTCTTTGAGAAAATTATAAAAGATTTCAGCTATGTGCAAGTTTTTTTTCAGACATTTCTGAACTTAGCAGATAATATATAAATTTCTGCAAGTAACTCACATGAATATTTCTGAAGTTATTTAATTTTGCATGAAAGAATTGCACCTTTACCATGTACATATTTTATGGGAACATTATATAGTTATTATATAGCTCAAACTATAACTACAGGTGTAGGTTATGTATACTGAAAGGAAGTTTACATTTAGAAAATGTCATGATTTGTTTGTTTGTTATATTGGATTTTACGTCACACCTACACAGAATAGGCCATATGGCAATGTTCAAGCTTTACTGGTGGAGGAAGACCTCAGGTGCCCCTCAGTGCATTATTTCAGGCACGAACAGGCAGCTAAGTAGAACCATCAACGTTCCATAAGCTAGCTGGATTGCTTCCTCACATGAAAGAATCCAAAGTCCCTGTTGGGATTCAAACCCACAGTGGTGAGGGGAAAATAACTTCAGTCATTCCAAATTCTCAACATTTTCATTTCTTTAATTGGTGTTTTTTTTTCCCATCCTCTCTTTTACTTTTTCATTTACCCCTACTTACCTAATTAATGAGGTGGCCTTTGGGTCAAGATGTCTACCTCTCAACCTACAGTCCAAGCCAAACTGGGGACATGACATTGTTTTCACACTTGACACCATCATTAGCAAGGGAGCAAAATCAAAACTGGATAAAGTAAGTTTTAACTTTCGTCCCAAAGTTACCAAATTAGTTAAAAAATGCAATTTATATATTACACTTTTACTAGCATACCTAAATCATGCTGTTTCTGCAAGTTCTGCAGATTTCTTTGATGCTCATCCAGTACTTCTTTCTTCTGTCTATCAATTAGTTTACCATCTTCTACTAGTTTATCAAGAGGCTCCTCAAACGCTTTCACCTCCGCTGTTACTTTGTCCTTACTTTGCTGCTCCTGAAGACGACGGAATTCCACTAACTGCCTTCTTCTTTCCAACCTCTCTGCTAAATGCTATAAAAACAATTGTATGTTTGTATAATTATATAGTGACTTTAATATTTCTAGTGACTTTAACTGTTTGATTGTTTACTTATATTTTTGTTTGATGGAGAAACAATCTCTTGCAATTTTTATCTGTCCCAATTAAGTCTATTTCTTCGAAAAAGCCAGTCCCATATTATAAAGTAGACAAGGTTGTGCCCCTAGAACTAGAATATACACAATATATACAAAATATATTCACATTATATTTCAAGTGCTGATTTTTAAAGACCTAACCCATAAATACCTTCCAGGGCCTCTGTGGCCTACATGTTACCAAACCCTGAATTGCTTGCTTTCTTTACAGGCCTTCATAAATCTTTCAATCTTTCAAATAAGAGAACTATCCAACTAGCATGCAAAAGCTTAGTGGCTCTTTATACATGAATAGGTCCTGCACAAATTCTTTCAATGATGAACAGGGGCACCTAAGCTTTACCTCCACCAGTGAAAGCTGCCCCCAGTGAGTGCTGGAAAAAACAACATATGACCTTAACAGGGTTGTTGTGGCTTAAACACCCAAAGCTCACCTGTGCTTGCCTGGCTTGCTCTAAACCTTGCCGCCTCTCAAACTCAGCCAGCTCTTGTTTCAATTTGTCAATCAAGTCATCAACCTATAAAATAAAACAAGCAAATATTTGACATCTACAAACTCAGGTCTAGAAAATCATACTACAATATAATGTAAGATGTCATGTAAAGTGCACACTCAAATATTTTAAATGCTTGTCAATAAAGCAAGGGCTTTAAAGGAATTTTCTGCATTCACAAAGGGAAATCATTTTATAAATATCTATGCCGGGTAGTGGGTCTTGGTCATTGCCATAATTTATGACAACTTGAATTATGTTCCATGTGTACATCTTCAACACCCCTACCCGATGCATACAACTTTTTTTATACATAAAACCACAAGCTGGTCACGCTTGACTTTTAACTATTTTTGTGAAGGTCTTATTTGAATTATTCAATATGAAAAAAATAATGCCCGCTTTAGCAAAATTCAAAAATTTTACCATGATGGTCAAGGTCATATAAAGGTCAGTTTTAGCTTATCCTACTTGAAGGTCAAGGTGAAATTCCATACAAATTAAGTAAGAAGTCCTCATGTAGACACACTTGTCAAATATTATTAAAATTGCTTCAGCGGTTTTGGAAAACACACATAGGATTGTGTCAACTAATGGCCAGAGATGTGGACATCTCCAAACCAGTATACTTTCCTTGCAAAATTGTTGTGCAATGGTTATAAAGAGCAGAGAAGTCCATCCTTAAAGACTTAAACTACATACCTCAGCCTCTGAAAGTCCAGAAGTGCGTATCAGTTCTCCTCTTATCATCTCCATCTCATCCTTCTGAAGCTGGTTCTAAATATAGTAACAAAACAAGTTCTAAATATAGTAACAAAACAAGTTCTAAATATAGTAACAAAACAAATGTCAACATTATACACAAATAACTTAAAGTCTGTCACTGCACTGCAAAAACTGCCATCATTATTTGTTTTTACATTTTTTAAAACTGCACAAATGGTCTCACATTGGTAGTTGCAGCCAACAAATTAAGGGTCAAATACATCTATTTATATATTATATATACATTTATAAAGCCTTTACAATCCCTAAAATTGATAAATATGACAATGTTTCATACATAAACAAAACCTCAAGAAGTTATTTTTGATTCTAATAGTTTTTGTAATAATTCTTAAAATAAGAATTTTTTTATATGAACATAAATGAAACTGAAAAAAAAAATCAGAATTATAATCAATATAAGGTTACATTATAGCATGTAGTTACATCAACTTATCAGTGTAAAATTTAGACTCCCGACTTATGGCCGATCCGTCTTATACCCGAGTAAAAACTTATCATACCCTCTTAGCCTCCAGTTTAATATTCAAGTTGTCTATTTCATTTTCTAGTGCTGCTTTGTTCTTTCCATGTTTCTTTCTTAATTCCTGTAAACAATTGACAATGTTCAGCCTTAGACAAAAAACATAAATCTCATGCTAAATATTCTTTTATTTATAAATACAAAAACAGAACTGAAGTCGGCCAGCAGACATGAATGTGCACACTGGTATAGGCCTATACCAGTGACAAAAGCACTTTTTGTCACAGCCCAAGTTTGAATGAAAATAATGGTTAAATATTATTCAATTCAGAAATAATATATCCCAAACTGTTTTTATCGCTCAATTAAATGACTGTTTGGAGTTCGGATTCGAGGAATTATTTACGAGGGTGTGGCCCTATGTTATAATAGTGCGCATCTGAACGACAAACAGTGATTTTTTCAAGCAATAAAATCACCGACTTCGATATATTATGATATATTATAATGAGGGTCGTGTTAGAATTTTACATAAAAAAATCATCTTACATAGAGGTGAATTTATTAGATTTGTATAGATATATAGATATAGGCTTAACTTAAACATCCAAAGAAACTCAAAGAATGATAACGATAAGCAGTAAAACAGACCATTCTAAGTAAAGTAAATCTTTATATTATTGACTTTCTAAGTTTACTTACATCCTCTCCTTCTTGCCTGTCCATGGCGATGATTTCATCATTACTCTTGCGCGTGTCGATGATTTTCTGGGTGAAGTCAGCAAGATACGGGTCACCGATTTGACCTTTACCCTTCATCTTTCGTAACTTCATTTTTAACATTTTAAGCATCATCTAAAAAAGACGTTACCAAAACTATAATTTACATCTTTGTCTTTGGTCATGATTACAAACATTCCACCCCATTTGCCCTTTTTTCATGCAATGAACTCTTCCTTTTGAATAATGAATTGCGATACTTTATCCCTATTTTATATTATGGACTCACTCTTTTAAACTTAGCATTGACATGGATATCCCTTTTTTTCATATAATGGACTCTTTCTTTTTTCAGAATTAGTATTGTACTGTTTCATAATTAGTATTTCCATTTTTTATTTCAGGGATGTCTGGATCATAACTCTACTAACATTTCGCAGTCGAGCATATTGTTTACAAATTGCTCAAATGTTTGGCTTAGTCTAATTATTGTGAAAAAAGCCTTCCATACATGCTTAACTTTATGCTATGATTATAATGACAATGGTTTTCCATTTCTGCTTTAAGCATTTTATCATTATTACAATTTTAGCATTTCTAATGTTTATCGGACCATAGAAAATTTAAGTAGTTCTTACATCATTTTTGTCATCTTTCTGGTTGTTATCCAATCTGTCCATTTCATCAATATCCTGTTTTGTCAACTCTGCGTCTGCTTCACCACTGAAATTATATAAAACAACAGGATATATAAATACAATAACATAAAACATCATGATATAATAAATACAATAACATAAAACAACAGGATATATAAATACAATAACATAAAACATCATGATATAATAAATACAATAACATAAAACAACAGGATATATAAATACAATAAAATAAAACAACAGGATATATAAATACAATAACATAAAACAACAGGATATAATAAATACAATAACATAGAAGAACAGGATAAATAAATACAATAACATAAAACATCATGATATAATAAATACAATAATAAAAACAGCAGGATATATAAATACAATAACATAAAACAACAGGATATATAAATACAATAAAATAAAACAATAGGATATATAAATACAATAACATAAAACAACAGGATATGTAAATACAATAACATAAAACAACAGGATATTATAAAATTTAATCTTAAGTAATAACATAGTATTAACTAATTAAGGGTGGATATTGCAAAGAAAAATCATATTGTGAAATATTGCATATTTACAGACATATTGCAATATATTGCAATATACTGTGAATTATATAAAATGCTCGATAATCAAGGGTATCCTACATTACCTTGACTTTGATTATCATTCAATATTATATCCCAATAAATGGTATGTTAGAGGCCCTTTAATGAAAGATTTCATAATAATGGCATTGTAAATGAAGTTCTTAACACTTTAATGTAAATGCCATTTGATGTCAAGCCAATACAAGATGGCTACACTTTTATCTTTAATAGACTTTTTAGTCTTTAGTTAATAGCTTCAATATACAATACATTGCGATATCTGAACATATTTTACAATATAATATTGCCAGATATAAAACTGCAATATCCAATATATTGCGATTTATTTCATGCATTCCACTGTTTTACTTTAACATAACAGATGATTATATTCTGATAAACCACTAGTGAATTTATAAAATGTAATTTTCACTGTAGCCAGACTACATCTGAATGCGAATGAAAAGAATATCATAACTAAATGGAATTACAGGCAAAAATAAATGCCTTCATACGTAAATTTTGCTTCTTTAGGAAAAGAAAGTCGATGAAATCATACATCATGTTTAAAATGTAACAAAATTAGAGAAATGTTAACAGAACTATATTTCAAAATTGATGATGTGACATCATGATGTGACATCATGAGGTGATGATGTCATAAAGGAGAATGTGTGTCGTTACACGGCAAAATCAGTAAAAAATACTTAAATTCACTCAAAAAAGCATATAATAAAAAGAAAATTTATTTGTTTTACATACAAGATTGAAATATATTTCATTCGTGAACACCAGCTGTTTTATTTTCACTACTGGCTATGCCACTCATGAAAATATTGCATCTGGTGTTAACTCAGTGAAAATATTTTTCAATCTTACTTGCAAAACAAACAAATATCCTCTATATATCTCACACCCCTTAATGATGACTATTGAAAAGCCGAAATGTTGGTCTTTAATAAAATTACTGAAACCTGACCCGCTTTGTTTTGTGTGTTTCCTTTCCCTTATTCTTTTTATCAACCCTAAAATAACAAGCAATTATCATAGTATTGCAAGCAATCCATAAGTCCCCTACCGGTAAGGGCCCAAGCAACATTCTGAAGGGCCATTGGCCATTCACCTAGGTTCCTATTTTATGTAAATTTGTTAAAAAAGTTCTTTAAAAGTGATCACAGGAAACAGTTTTTATGTACAGACAGACGGACTGAAGGACACTCTAATGTTATTTTTTAAACATCCCTGTTATCAAAATATAACATTTTTAAAATCCTTTCATGATTGAAGAAGTTGGAGTAAAAATTACCAATTTCTCAAAAAAAAAGTCTAAGTTCAAAAGGGGCATAATTCTAGAAATAGTCTTGCTAGAGTATTGAACACTCACAAATGTTGAGTGACAATAAGAAACATTTATATGAAGTTTGAAGTAGATACATTCAGAAAAAGAAGTTATTAAAAAAAAACAATGGTTTTTCACAAATTTTAAGTTCAAGGGAGGTAATTCTGATAAATTTTGTGCTAGAGTTGTAAACCTTGTCACATATGATGTGGTTGATGACAAGCAACTTATATTTAAAGTTTGAAGAAAATACCTTAAGAAATAAAGAACTTATAGCGAAAAAACTAGAATCAGAAATCTTGAAATTCAGTCTATTTGTTGCCATAGCAACCAGAAATTTTCAACATAGGAAGATAAAAAAAGGATGTGCATAATTTCCATACTGCCATCTACCCATATGTCAAGTTTCATAAACATATTTTCAGTACTTTTTGTGTTATCACTGGATCCAGGTTATGTGTAAAATTTGCCATATTTTCAGTCTATTTGTTGCCATAGCAACCAGAATTTTCAACATAGGAAGTAAAGAAAAAGACGTGCATGATCTCCATACTGCCATCTATCCATATATCAAGTTTCATAAAAATATTTTCAGTACTTTTTGCGTTATCGTGGGATCCAGGTTATGTGTAAAATTTGCCATATTTTCAGTCTATTTGTTGCCATAGCAACCAGAATTTTCAACATAGGAAGTAAAGAAAAAGACGTGCACAATCTCCATACCGCCATCTATCCATATATCAAGTTTCATAAAAATATTTTCAGTACTTTTTGCGGTATCGCGGGATCCAGGTTATGTGTAAAATTTGCCATATTTTCAGTCTATTTGTTGCCATAGCAACCAGAATTTTCAACATAGGAAGAAAAGAAAAAGACGTGCATAATCTCCATACCGCCATCTATCCATATATCAAGTTTCATTAAAATATTTTCAGTACTTTTTGCGTTATCGCGGGATCCAGTTTTGTGGACGGACGGACTGACGGACGGACAGACGGACTGACTGACGGACAGACGGACGAAGGGTAAACCTAAAGTCCCCTCCGGTAAACCGGTAGGGGACTAATAATTACATATACTATAATTCAACAAGAATGAATCCATGAACATATATAAAAAATCAGTTCTTACCTGTTTGGTTTTGTCAGTATAGTTACTATACCAACTGAGTTAGTGTTTGGAGTTTTACCCTCATCTTTACTCTCTGGTTGAACCCAGCCTTTGTTTTCCTTAGTTTCTGTGTTCTGGTTGCCAGTATTCTTTTTGCGCTTGAAGAAAGCCGTTGCCGCAGCAAATCTAGACTTTTTCGGTCCACCAAATTCTTCATCTTCATTCAATTTTTGCTACAATGTAAGGAAAAAAGATGGAAAGGTGAATAAAATGGTATGGTGTAGATTATTATGCAAATGTCATATTGTCATGTCACATCTATACAGTGCACTCCACTAGTAACCAGATCGGTTTTAACGAGGTACTGCTTATAACGTACATTCTACTGTGTCCCAGCCTTTTTCCTTCTATTTTCCTTTCATTTTATATTGCTTATAACGAGATTGGTTTTAGGGAGATGTCGATAACAACGTACATATATTCACCGTTCCATGCGTATTTTTCACAATTTTAGCTAGGTCACTTCATTGGCACTTCGTTTGCATCAGTTGGTGTCAGATTTCTTAATTTATTCTGTCCCAGTTACAACGAGACCCGGTTATAACAAGGAATCATGAGAAGTCCCCATGGTCTCGTTGGATCGAGAGTGCACTGTACTTTTCTAGTGATGTTTAAATCATATTTATACAAATTTACTTCATGAAATGTCAAATTATCATGACAGATCTATACCTTTTCAGGAGTGTATACTGCATCAGCAGTGTCATTCTCTATAAGCTCTTCTTCATCTTGTCTCTAGAATGGTAGAAAAAGATACATTCAGTGCAGGTTAAATGTGAGAATTTGACTGACTACCTGATAAAAAATAAAAATAATTGCTATTTTTTTTCATTTTGTGTAGGTTACAAGTGAGAATTTGACTACATTTAACTAACACTGTATTGCCTAGCGTAAACAACATATTGCCTAATTTAAAGAAGAGCAAGCCCATTTAACAAGCTTAGGAGGGTATGAGTTAAAAACAACATATACACAGTCCATATTCTCTTCATCATAACATGCTTTTAGAAAGTGTTCAAATGCAAATTTTACAGAAAAATACAGTAAATAAGGTTTAATTATCTGCAGTTCAATAATAAGATTATAATATTTCTGTATTTCAACTTGCTATAATAAAATTTTTAGCTAACAGTTACATAGAAAATGTATCTTAAAGAAACTCCACTGAGGTTTTTTGAGGTGAAGGGACCAAAAATATTTTCCAAGATTTTTGTATAAATAGATGTATGTCTAGACCAATAACTCATGTACAAATTTTTATATCATTCTCTCACTCCGTTTCCCAAAAATAATAAATTTAATTGTGCAGATTGGCCCAAAAAATGAAAGCCGTTGCAACGCTTTTCACTCAATCAATTTTATACCGTGTATATTTATATATTATCTATTGCTTGGCTTCAAATTTATGTGTACCAGTTTATTTAAAAAAGAATTTCAAAATTTATCATTTTAAGCTATTGGACCTCAGTGGAGTTCCTTTAAGTAAACCATAAAAACAAAATACAATATACATTTATTGAGGGGAAATGTGACAGATTATTAATCTGAGTAGATTTTTACCCTATCACCTATTTTTGTACCTTTTCATCATAACCTATTGAGAACAATAATCTTCCACATTTCCCCAATTAAAGAGCTAGTAATACAACAACAATCAAATTAAACATAAAATAAGATACAATTCTGACAAAAGAAGGGCAAATAAATGTATACATTTATCATGCAAAGACAAACTGAAACTTAAAACCATTTAAATTTCTATATATTTCCATGAAAATCTTTTTTAGACAGAAAATATTGTTCACTCTCAAGACAGCTTTTTTTTTTAAAGTTTTATATCAATTGACTTTAAAATGGATGTTTAAACATAATGTATGATTTATTAAAACATTTGTCTGGGCAAATCATCTTCAAGACATTCATTGTTCAGAAACCTGATTTCTAAGACAATCTAAGGCATAGAAGACTTATTAATATGCAATTCTTTGTCTAACACATACAATTTATAAAATTGACTTCAAATTCAAAATACACTGTATAACACATGATACAAGAGAAAAATATAAACATTTCATAAAAAAATCCTTTAAAATTGTATCATATAATATAACATTGTACATTTTCTGTCATGTACATGTATGTAAGGAAGAAGTAATTTTTTTTATAGAGCTAAATTTTAAACACTGAGCCATTTCATCAGCCAATTTTCTGGGAAAGGACTGTTTTTATGAGTCACAGTAGCGAACAAGTAACCATCCCACCTTTAACCTTAAAAGATCAAACATTCACGACAGAGAACAAAATGTATATGTTCAAAGTAAAGTTTAAACTAAAATACTTTAAATACTAGAAAATGGGTGAAAAGAAAGAGAAAGACACTGAATAAGAATTTAAGTATTGCATACGTAAAATATGATACTAAAATACAAACACTCTACCTTTCTGAAACATTCATACTGTAAACAATAAGGAATTACATAACAATGTATTATATACAAATGATATCAGACAGGGTAATGTTCATGAAACTGGGTTCACATGCAAATTTCTTTCCCTGCATTTGAAATTCAAAGAAGTTCACTGCAGCAAAGTTATTTTCAATGTTATTAACCATAAAGCTGGAAATTGAACTATTCTGTAGAAACTGTTTAGGAAAATCAAAGATTAGGTCTATCAGATATTTCCTTGCATACAAGACAGCATTATCTACTGTTACCACCAGAGCTAGAAAAACCTGTCTTACACCCCCATGTAAGACAAGTCACATCTTTAAATGATGTCATTCTCGTGCTTATGAATGAATTGCCTTCTTATAATGACGTCATTTTGTCATTATGAATGAATATAAGAAAAAAGTGCTAAATGAAAATATTAAGATTAATATGTCATATGCAAGAAAAAGAATCGAACACCAGTTGTCAATACAAACACTAAAAATAAAATATCTAGCTCTCGGGTAAATTTTCAGCCGAAACTCTGCAGAGCCTCGTTACCACTCTAAACAGTTACCCTCAAGCTAGATATTCTGGTCTGTACCAGCAGCCGGTGTAAGATCCTTACATTATGAAACCAAGGAGATGACACTGTGGTTTCCTTCACATCAGTTAAAACTTTAGAATTTCTGAAATAAACAGCTTACTGATGATGAGTGATCCTGATTCCAACACTTTTTAAATCAAACAAGTAAATTGCAAATTTCAACATTACAAACAATAGAAAGCTGCTTGATTTGCTAATTAATGCTTTACATTTTAGGCCTATCAGACAGTACCTTTTTCTTTTCCCAGTCTTTGAGGCATGTTGGTATGAGACAAGCTGCAAGGCCTCCACCGATAAACAACCCCAGAAAGAAGGCACCTGCAATCCATCCTTTATCAATTGTGAACTCTTCCACCTCTCTAATGACTTCAACAGGCAGGCACAGATCATACAAATAACTCATCCTGGTTTAATCTGAAAAATATAATACAACAATCTATGTCATTATTGATTTATTTCTTTGTCAAGAATAATCTTTTTAAAAGTTTTAGGTTTATTAAAAAAGCTCTTAGCACAAACAAATAGAATGCATATTATAACTAAAAAGTTATATGCACTTACAACATTCAGGTTGAAAATTTTAAAGTAGCCTTTATAAATAAACTTTTGAAATACATTTGTATTAAGCAATATAGTGAAATTTAATACTTGTAATTCTGTAAATTGACATTCTTATGAGATTTCAGGCTGTAGTCTGAGCCTTTCGGTAACATGTTAATTCCCATATTCAAAGCGCGGCACATTTGAATACGGCAAAGGAGGGGAGCCATCATGTATTAATTTTGTCAAAAGATTTTGTAAATGGAGTAAAACGGCGATAATCTTGATGTTAATTTCGCCTGTGCTGTGTTGTTGCGTTGTCGATATTGATGCTAAAGTTTAAAATTGACCATCGTCTGTGTTGATGAACATAGGGATAATAATGTGAAAAAAATTGGATATGGAATAATACATGGTGAAATTGACGGTAGGTGTGCTGATTTTTTTTCAAGCGTACATTTTTATCTTGTGTATTATTATAGACGTTGAAATATGTAATTTTTCAAAACGGCTTATGTTAAGTTTTTTATGTATATGATTAGTACATGTGCTGGGATTGACAAATACACATTATATTTGGATTTTAAAGGCGTTTTGAGGTCCACACCCCAAGTGTCCGTCTTCCTCCAATTCTTGAATCTGAAATTCTGAGTTTACAGATTACAACATGTTATTCATAACTTTTAAATAATTAAAGTTCAACGCTATAACTGTGAATATTCACGATTCTAATTATGAAGAAATAATAAAATTTATAGATTTTGTCAAACTCGAAGACATGTTCATGCACAGTTTTAGCATTTTCGCCGGGTATTTTTATCATTTGATTTACCATTTTTCAAAATTTCTTAGACATACCGTTTTAAACTCAAATTGCTCGAAATTTCTGGGGTCAAGCCACGGAAAACAGTTCACAAATGTCTTGTTTTGGCCGATAATTTAAAAGTTTTTAAGATAAATTTACGGTTTCGGCCATTTTGTTTAATATTGTTTATGTTGTTGTGAAGCACAGTTTCTGATTGCCCTTCGCGCGAATTTCCGCTTTGGGGATAGTGAAACTATATAATCTGGTCCCGCAACTATCACCATACGCAGATAAATTTGAGAACCAAACAATTAACCAAGCACTTGTTCTCATGCACGATCAACAGACGCTTGAATTTCTTACGGCTCTTAGGGGGTTTACTTCCCTTTGGTCACACGGACAAAAAAAAAATGTTAAAAATATACGCATATGCTATAAGTTAACTTAAATAGTATATTTAAAGGGGATTCATAATTCACATTTTTTTGGGTTTTGACACATTTAAGATGAATACAAAGTTTTTTTTTATCAATCTGGTCATTTTTTTCCTTCCGAGGTCGGATACTCGTGCCTGTGTTTGGTCTATTTGAAAGACCGTGATTAAAATAAATAAACAAATTATGCCAAATTTATGAAAATTTTTCAAAAATTAAAAAAAGACATAAAAAAACAATTGTTCAGACTGGGACAAAAAATAATATATTCTATATATATTCACAGAATCTTCCTAAATTCAATATTAAAATTTAAAATATGCGTTTAGTACTACGATTAATATGCACGGAATAATAATATATTCTGTCCCAGGTGACACAGACAGTGACGTGGGAACCCAGATTCTGTATACATGTACATATACATGTACATATTTACCTTAAAAGAGATATTTCAAAACAACATAATGTAATACAGATAAAGATAATTAATTGATTTTTTTAAAGCGTTATACATGACTGTTTTGATGTATTTTTTGGTAAAATCAGAGATACTTATATTGAATATTGGTTTGGAAAAACAGAGTAAAGAAATCTTCTAAGAAAAAAAAAACAAAAACAAGTAAAGTAGAATAAAAACAATATATTATTGTTTCAATTGCAAGTAAAACAAGCGTTTTTCGACGTAATCACACACACGCACGCACGCACATTCATGGTCCGTTAGTCTTATGCATCTTATTTTGTAATGCAATTATTGTAGTAAGTTGAAAATAGATTCAGTTTTGTTAAAGTAATATGTTTTTCTGTTTTACAGACTTATTAAAATTCATCATTATGTTTTTGTTGTTTTTTATTTTTTTATTATTTCATTTGTTTGATCCTGTATGTTGTGACTAAAGAAGTTAACCACACTCAGTGAAATTATAAATATATGTATATAATTAATTGTGTGGGTGTGTGGGTGTGTGGGTGGGTGCATGTGTGCGATGTAGCGTGTGTGTGTGCTAATAAAACAATTTTCAAACATCAAAGAATACGTAAAATGTGTACTGGAAATATTTGTGCATATTATATGTAATCATTAAAATATATGCATTCATTTCTTATTGGAAAATTTGACTCAAACTTTATAGAAAATCAATTTCTAATGACCTCCCTTTATGTTAAATTCGGTAATATCTTTATAAATACTGCTTTTTGGAACCTATAATATTGATAAATCTTAATTTGAGCATTATATTTATGATTTAAAACCATAAAAATATTGTGTTGCAGGATCTTTAAATATAGAATACTTAACCTCAAAATATTGAAAATATCTGGCCCGTCAAAATGTATTGCATAATCATTAAAGAGGAAGCATTAAGTTTTGATAGCGATGAAATAAATATACGATTAACAAGCAAGAAATAAGGTATTGGTAATTTAACTGAAAATCGACAGCGAGCGGGTTATCATTTCCTTGACCCTTTCTTATCACACTGCACTCTCGTTTTTGGCACTATTCGAAAATCAACGCCTGCACAATGTTAGTCGTACATTATTTATATTTCAAGTTCACCTCAGGTGACATAGGTAGGTGAAGAGGGCGAATATTAGCTGACCAGCACGTGACCTCTTTCCCCGAGATCTTTGTAGGTCATAAACGTCTAAATAAATCACCGACCAATTATAATGCAATCGTACGAAAGTAACTGGTCAAGCGGGCAAAAGCAGATTACTGGCCGGCAATCGATTTAATTGTATTTACTGTCTACACGATTTACTGTCTAATTATGAGCTAATTAGATAATTATGACTGCGGTTCTTACTACTAGCAAGAATATTTGGCATTGTCCGTTACTTTCCAAGCATTTATGCATTGTCTAGATCAGGGAAAGAGCAGTCTAGATCGTACTTGTTTGGCATGAGGAAAATATAAGCAAACACTTGTGTTGAATGAAAAAGGTTATTATTGAAAATGCCATAACTGACATTTATTAAAACTATTACACATAAAACATGTTATGGAAAATTTCCGAATGGTTAAGCTGGGAGTTTATGCTTTGCAAGCATTTGCAGTGGCGCATGGCTGTGGTTTAAGATGTCTTACACTTTATGGATGGCCGGCATACTCGTATACTCAATATACACGTATAATTTCATTAGATATATGTACAACGCAATATTGTTTGTACAATGGATAATTGACATTTATGCACACTATTTTTGCATCTACCGATAACAGCATTTAGTATTCTTCAACTCAACAACCCGGGAACATCCTATACATTAATTTCAATGCGCCATCACCGGAAGAAAGTCATGTAAACCGACCTAACATGAACCATTATCCAATATCTAGATATCAATAAAACATTCTATTGTTATCATAGGTTGGTTTTATATATAGATATTTTGGACCCACGTAAGTGAACAGGCCTGATAAAAAAGATAAGTAGTTAAACTACCTGACCTTATTCCACAAGACACACTCGAAAAAAACTCGGTCGAAGGTCTTTGCTCTCTTTGCAAGGACTTTGACCACTTAATAGTGTGATATAATCATAAGTGTTTTGGTATATGTACAGGGAAATAGTTTTTAATGTACATACATTGATATATCTGCAACACATGTAGCTTTTCTCCTCATATCATATCATCGCTTATCATGTCACGAAAAGCAATTGAAAATTTATGTCTTTTTTCATGATGAAATACGAAGTTAGTCTGGTAGTTTTACGAGATCTATATTTGATGTAAGTCTTGGCCAAAAACTTTTGTGCAAAATTTCAGATCATTAGCTCAGTCCGTTTTTTCGGAGTAATTATTAAATCATGAAAAAATATCAAAAATTAAAAAGCGTTGCAACGCTTTTTCACATAAATTGGCTACAAATAACACAAAAATAAAATTAGCGATTTATTTCTGAGTATATTTATGAATAATTTTTTGCATATCTTTCTGTTTTAAAGTGTCTCACTCGATCTACGTATAAATTCCAATGTTGTATTTTATGCTTATACATGACCTCAGTGGAGTTCCTTAACTAATAACCGAGTTATTTAATCATGTATCTTCTATCATGAACTATGTCCGTATATGAATATGGCCTCATACGACAAAATTCACCTTAATTTGTAACCAGTCATGGAATCACCTTACTCACCTTGACCGGGCAGTGGTCAAATTTGTAAGTGGTCAGTGGCCGCACAAAAAAGGCGTATGGTTAGTTATACAAGGTTTCATACTGACTTAGTTTTCAAGATAACGAACGGTTAATCTTTCCAATTCCAGATGTCTTTATAGATCATATATTAAGTTAATTATATTTCTGTTGATAAGCAACAGATGTGTAAACAGTGTACATGTCAATTCATTACAACGTCCATATTTCTGTCAAGGGCTATGTTTATGTAGGACATTCAGCAAAGAATCATAATTTATGTTAGTAGAGTTTATAGAAATGGCAAGTTTTATTACTATACGCACTGGGCACTATGCAGTAAATTCCGTATATTTTACCTTATTATTTTCCAATATCTGGTAAAGGCCTCGCCCTGGGAAACAGTCAACTAAATGCCCTCTCATTCATTGCGAGCTGGCTATGTCCTCAGCTGACCCGACTTTGCGGGGGCATAGAAAAGGTTAAAACTCCCCCGATATACCTTCGGACTGCCGCAGTGTTGGGACCCCCCCCCCCCCCCCCTAGAGTCTAGAGTTTCTTGTGTGCGGCATTCGGTCATCAAACCTCAAGCCCAACTCTAAATATTTACAATGCATATCTTTATGAATGCTGCAAGGATCGTAAGCTGTGCTAAATAGCAATTTACATCTTTTAAGATAATATTAGATCGTTTAAAATGTATATCTTACACTTTAAAACATATTCATCATTCTTATTTTCTTACCTTCGTTCGATCACATACATGTTTATGATAACTTCCCTGCTTTCTCCAAGCTGTTTGCCGGAAAAAAAGCGAAAATTTGCGGCTGACCATTAGTGACGTTTACCGCGTTTTAAAATAATGTTCTGTAAGTTGTACACGGAACTTTTGGTGCTCAAATAATTATGTTTATTGGAGAGATATCTGGAAGCGTTTGTTTATTCTAAGTAGACATTTGGTCAAGGGTGAAGTGCTTTATGTGTGTTTGAAAAAAGTGCAGGCATTTCTACATGTAAACTGTTTATATTGAATCAGATAAATTGACAACGAGGTGTCGATGACCGGTAAGTGACCACATGATAAGTAAATTGCTTCATTAAATTCTATTTATTTATATGACTTGACATGTACAGAAGTTACTGAAATATGAAATCAATACCGATTTATTCTCGCAAAGTTGAGGTTTCATTAACATAAAACTGATCTTTATGCATACATTATGCCTATGCTCGTAGTCTAAACTGTCCGTAAATCAGCGACAATTCATTTTGACTTTTTTTCTTAAAACTGTGAATGGTTTTGTCCAGATTAAAAGACGGACTATTATAATTGAGATGTTGGGCGTGGTAAGAATTAAAGTCACATATGCTACACACATCATGCTTCTATAAATACAATAAATAAATATAGTTTTATTCACTTTGACATATTCTTTACATGTATTTGTTTTTTTCCCAACCTAGATAACACTTACTCCTAAATCTTTAGTAAGTGTGTTTTTTTTTAAATATCCATGGTCTATTTATAGGCTTGTTGGCAAAATTTGCCCCGCCCCCAGTCGCCCTCGTTTGCAAAATTAGCATTCACTTCCACATCAAATATAAAACCTCCTATTTAATATTTAAATCAGATAATGCATGGCAAAATTCGTATCATCTTTTCAAAACGTGGGAAAGGTACAAAAACAAGTTACAAATTACCTATCTGTAACAACAATCAGTAACAACCTGCTAGGTTTATCTTATATTTGTCGGATTGATGGAACATTTATACTGCTTTCCCTCATTGATATCTGTGCTAATACTCGGCGAATATTCATTTTCTCGTCGGATAAGAGATTGTTTATCTGCCGACAGATATGAAAGCACTCTAGAAAGCTGATTGCAGTGAAATGTTT